AGATTCATTGAACAACCCCACCAATATACTAAGCTTTGGGATAAGTATAGAATGAAATCCAGCTCAATATCGTATATCTCCTAAAGCTACACCAAATGGTTTAGAAAAGTGATGTTCTGAATAATGCCTTGAAATAGACTAGGAAAACAAAAATTATGTTTCCTTCCTTAATGAGGTGGAATGGGGTAGGAAGGTACATTAATATTTTTTAGTAACTTGTATTTAATTCAGTTTATAATATAGTCATACACATTGCTTTATATAAATTGATAAGCAGATTAATTTATTTGCTGAAGGTCACAAAATGTGCAAGACGGAATAATAGTGTAGATCTTCTTACTCCAATGACCATACTCCTTCCCCTAAAACATTTTGAAATATTCCTAAATAAGATTAAGCCAAAAGTAGGTTATTAATCCTTTAGTTGATCAAAACTACATACAAACACCCTGGTTAACTAAGTTTTTACTTACAATGATGTATAATACCAAACTAACAATTACATATCTCTACCATACTCTCTCTCCACAGAATTAATTTTGAAATAACCTAAATGGCTATCAAAATTACAAGGTAAATTATGAATATAAATGGTAAACCCCTTTCCTTTTGAGATTTTGATGCTAAATTAGTGGGAAAACAAAAGCAATGACAGACTAATTGTTACCAAGACTTGCCTTTCTGCTATATATAAATATATAACTCAACAAAATATATAAGGCAACTATTTTCAGGCACTGGAAAATTGGAAGCTTAAGATACATTCTAAGATAATCCAGATATACATTAACAGATAAGGACTTTTAATCAGCTATTATAAATATGTTTAAGGACTTAAAGGAAAACATAATCTCAATGAGGGAAAAAATGGGAAATCTCAGCAGAGAAATGAAAGTTATAATACAGAATCAAACAGAAATTCTAAAACTAAAAATGTACAATAGCTTCAATTTCCCTGGATGGCGTTAAAGCACGTTTGAGATTGAATATAAGGAAATAAGGGTCAATGAACTTAAAGAAAGATCCATGTAAATGAGCCAACTGGAAGAACAGAGTGGCAAAAAAATTAAAAATAAACAGGAACTCAGTAATCTGTAGAACAATATCTAACATTAATGTACTTGGGGTCCTAGACGGAAAAGAGAGAGAGAATGGGACAGAAAATATAGTTGAAAAAATAACTTTTTAAAAAACCCTAAATTGGGTAGAAAATACCAAACTACAGATCTAAGAAGCTGAGCAAGCTACAGGTAGAATAAACACACACAAAAACCATACTTAGGCACATCGTGATCAAATTAGTGAAAAAGAAACATAAACAGAAATACCTTTAGAAAAATATATTTTTATACTCCCACTGACAGAACTAAAGGGATAAGGAGATAAATCCACAATCATATTTGGAGATTTTAACACCCCTCATAGTAACAAATAGAACAAGTAGAACAAAACAAAACCAGATCTGAAAAATGCTACCAACCAACTAGACCTAATTGACATTTACAGAACACTACCACTATATCTGCAAATACACAAGATTCTTTTCAAAGGCACTTGAAGCATATACCTAAATATATCATAAAATGAACTATAAAATCAGTCTCATTACTTACAAAAGACAAAAGATTCTTACAATAGATATTCTCTGAGCTTAACAGAATTTTAAATTATTAGTCAACAACAATAACATATCCAGAAAAGCACAAAATAGTTGGAAATTAAACATTTCATTCTAAATAACATTCTAGTAACATTCTAAATAATAAGAGAAGTCCAAGGGAAGTTAGAAAATATTTTTAATTAAATAATGCAAAAACAATGAAGCAAAAATTGGCTCTTTGAAAAGACTAATAAAATTGGTAGAACCTAGCAAGGCTCTCCCCCGCCCAAAACAAACAAACAAACAAACAAACAATAATGACCAATATCTGGAATGAAAAAGGAGATAAAACTACAGACCCTATAGACATTAGGCTAATAAAATAATATTAGAAACAACTTCATACCAATAAATTTGTCAACTCAGTGTATTTGTGCAATAGAACACTTCTAAGCAAACTCATACACAGAACATGGATAGATCTCACAACTATTATGTTCTTGGATGGGGGAAGGCAAGCACAAAACCTTACATACATTTAATTATATGGTACTCTAAAACTGGCAAAGCTAACCTATGGTGATAAAATCATATCAGTGGTCACAGAAGGTGACCTGGACCAGAAGGTGCTATGGGTGGAACTCACTGCAAAGGGGCATAGATGATATTTCTGGGATGATGGAATACACAAATTGTCAAAACTCATCACATTGTACACTTAACACCTGACTTCATTAAATGTAAATTTATTTCAATGAAGTTGATTTTTAAGAAATAAATAAATAAAAATTTAAAAATACCACAGATATAAGAATCAATGTGTATTTAGTCCCAATTTTTAAAAAAATTCTTCAAAAAATACTTTATTTCCATTATACCTGCTTAACAGAATAGGAATCAAAAACTGTAGGCCAGGAAGTGTGCTAGATGCTTTCACATAGGATACCTCACAAAGGCTGTGTCTTTAACTCATGATAAGATCTAGCACGGTGTCTTGGAACACATGCTGTGTTGCAATTGAAAAATAAATAGAGCTGGAGCCAGAAGACCTGGGTTCAAATAATGATTATACTGATCTCTTAGTTTTGTAATCTTAGATAAGTCACTTATCTTAAATTTCATCAAATGTAGGGGTGAGGTGAAGATGAAGAAATCTATTTTAAAGTGCCTGGTAAAGCACACCATAAATACAAATGCTTAACAGACACTGATGAAATGAAGAAATGAAGGAGATAAACAACAGCATGGACAGGGATACAGCAGACAGGAAGAGACAGGGAGAGTAAGTTTCTAGTCACATGTTTGTCTGTGGATGGGTGGGGTAGAGGGTGGAACAGAAGCATCCAAGCATTTTGACCTAATACCATGTTCCTATCATGAGCAGTAGGTGCAGTGATTAGGATAGGGCTGGCTGATGTCCCAGGATGAATAACTTTCATTGTGACCAAAATGACAGCATTCTGGGCTAATAATCCCATGTCCAGTCCAGGAGCATGAAACGGGAGGCTCCTTGTCGACTTAAGACTCCAAGGGGCTTTTCCGAGGTTCCTAAGAGTTACAGAAAGTCTTCTATTACTGTAGATAGTTGAAATGCCAACATGACTGATGACCTACTGTTTAAAGTGTTCCATTCCTTCTTACCCTTATTAGGTTTTCATAAATTTTGCTCTAACTGAGACAACCTGAGCAGAGATCTTCAGGATACAGCAGCAGTGACTGGGCAATACCATCATTACTGCCTCGTAGGCTCATCTTCAGTAGAGTTCCAGGGAATGACGCTGAGTCTGACAAGTATTCAAAACGTACACAAATATGAAAACCTACAGAGTGACTATACTGATTTAAGACATGAGAAGTCACGTATCTTCACCCAAATATGGAGCCACTAGTGGGGCATATGGGAGTTCAATAGTCAATCACTGTATAATGTGATAAGTTATCTAATAGAGGTTTTAACAGAATGCCACGAGGGCACATAGAGGAGATAACGAACCAAGTGGTGGGGGAGAAAGCAGTATTGGGAAAATATTCTTGAGAAGAGCAATACCTGTGCTGTATCCAAAGATGTTAAGGAGTTATTTGGGCAAAAGGCATAGTAAGGCAGTGGGCACAGCACAAAGACTCAAAAGGGTTGGATGGTGCCATCTGCAGAGAACTGCAAGTGATTCCACAGAGCTGGAGCGTATAGTGTGAAGGGAGAGTGAGGAGATGGCAGGGGCGCAGGCAGGGTCTCGGGAAGGACCATGTTAAAAATCAGGCTGAAGGGACTGACAGTTTATCTTGAAGATGAAGGAAGCCATTGAGGGATTTTAAGCAAGCAGTACCACAATCAAATTAGGATTTTTTTAAAAAACTTTGAATATATATATTTTTTTATTGGGGAACAGTATGTTTTTCCAGGACCCATCAGCTCCAAGTCAAGTATTGTTTCAAGCTATTGGATTGTCAGAAAAGTCATGATGTATTTTTTCTGTTTTTCGTTGCAAAAATGCGTCATGACTTTTCCGACAACCCAATAGTTGTGGACGGAGCATCTCAGTGGCCCATGTGGGAATTAAACTGGCAACCTTCGTGTTATGAGCCTGCGCTCTAACCAACTGAGCTAACCCGCCGCCCCATCAAATGAGGAATTTTAAGTGATCATTCTGACAACAGTGTGGAGAACAGATTGGAAGGGGACAAAAGTAGGGACATGAAAATTAGTTAGGTGTCTGTTGAAGTGACCCACGTGGAGAATGACAGCGGCCTAACAGCAGCACTCAGAAGGCAGAACAGGTATGTAAGACACAGTCAAGAGGCTGAACTCTCAAGGTTTCACCGATCTACGCGAAGGAGAAAAAGAAGGAACAAAGCGTGGCTCCTAGGTTTCAAGCTTGCACGTATGAATGGATAGACCGCTTGTCCACTGAGATAAAGAATAAGTGAACCTACATGTGAAAGTGCCAAAAACAATGATACTGCACTAAGTTTAAAAAGAAAGAATTAACACAGACAAAAGGACACATTGCCTTAGACCACATGGATACACCACCTCTGAGAAAAATCGAACACTTAAATTCAGAGAGAGGAATAAGTCAGCGTTAAAGAAATTCCTGTCTAACATATGTTGATGAATGAATAATCAAAGAATAACACAGAAGGCAATTCACTAACAAGAGAGCCATCTACTGCCTTACAAGGATAGTGCAGCAACGAAATGCCATCAAAAAATGTGGAAGAAAGCCAAGTGTTTGAATACTTCACATTGTACATGTCGGCACAAAATATCTGACCCACCCCACAAAAAACATCCAAGTGGTTAGCACTTGGAACTAATAACCTAATGTTTTCACTTACTTGTTTCTCCTACAAGCATCAATTCAATATATATATATATATATTATCATTTGAATATGCTTACCTGCCATCATTGCTATCATACTGGCTTTATAGACATTAGTGAGAGATCCAAGTTCTCCTGTTGCTAAGATGGTTTTGAGATGAGCCTTCCCACAGGCCTTGCGAAACTGACGAATCTCATCATACAGGGCTGGGGAAGAAAATAATTGAGGCAGTTACAAAGCAGGCAAGTGATAACATAACTTGGCAGCCGTTTAGAGCTGGGAAGAACCCACCTCAGATTTAGGAAACATAAACCATTTGTCACTTTCTAAAAATCGCCCCAATTTAATATCGCCTAGAGCATTCTGTTGCGCTTCACATCCTGTTACAAGGGATGCTTAGTGTGCTACCAGGAACCAGTTTCTAAGCCCTGACCGGAGGTCTCGAGCCATGAAGCTTTTACAATAATGACATGCAAATTACAAATATAATTTTTACCTCTTCTAGGTGACGATTACTTACAAGAAAAAAGAAATTTATCTACCATCCCTACAGGGGTATACCATTTTCCAAACTAAAGGAAAAAAAAATTCTCAGGTACTTATTAATTCTTCCATTCACACATAATAAGTTCTCTTGCTGGAATATAAAGCAGCCCTTTCCTGAGAGCTCTGCTAATGACATTAAAGATGGAACAGCTTGCCCCACTATCTGCCAGGGTATGTCTCTACATACATGACTAAGAAGTGTTGAGGTAGTGTTGGATGTACGTGCACAAAGCCAGCTGTAGAGGGATTCACAGATGCAGCCTTGAATCTATATTAACCCCTGACCCCAGAGCCACATCTGGCTTTCTAGGGCTTCAAAGAGCACCCGAAAGCAGCTTGATTAAATATATATACTTAAAACCTGTACACTACAAAATAAAATCAAGGGGGAAAACATTTCATATTCAAAGTAACAGATTTTGGTAAACAAAGTCAGTATAATGAGTATTACGTTTTTGAAAAATTATTTTACATAGTCTTTTTTTCATGATACCAGTGGATGTGGGTTCTCACCTTGCATCAGGTTGGCCATATTCATTTCTTGAACTTAAGCTATTGCTACATTATCAAGAGTAAGATCAGAGCTTTTCTTTCTTCTCTATGTGTGTTTCATAGGAAGTCATTTTACAAGCATACAAACTGCACACAAACTAAACTGAACAGGAAAGAAACATTCACAGTAAAGGTTAGTGTTAATGTAAGTGGTTTTTAATGCAAAGATGAGAGTTCAGTAATTCATAGGTTTCCTAAACTATATATAAAAGACTTAAAAGACAGTAAACTCAGTCAAATCCATGAAAGTTATAACAAGAGGAATAAAACTTGTCTTTCAATCATAGAAAACCTGAACTTAACTTGAAGCTCAAAAGTGCAAGCTGAATACAAATAAAGTCAAATATTCTACTATGAGGTGCTCGGTATAAACTTTAGTGTATGTTGCTGCCAAGAAATGGTACCCACAGGTTTTTCAAGAAAGGACTGAATATTTTCACAAACCCCTAATAATCAGTAGTTTTGAGTATCAGAGATGGTCTGAGATGCCACACTGCCTACCTTACCCTGCCCATCCTACCTAATTGTGAGAAAATCATCTTATCCCTACATTTAATATATATGACAATGTGTGAGAATGGTATAAACAGTAAAAGACACATTATGTGACAGGGACAATCTACATTCTTTTAACTTAAAGAATGAATCTTAGATGGAATGACATTTCTTGAGTTACTAAATCTAAAAAGAGTAAGTTGTTCTCTAAGAACTAGTGACAAGAAATCTCTTGATCTAAAAATTCAAGAATGCTAATCCAGGGTTAACCTGTGATTTAATTAATGACTGTTCCTCCACAGTACAGTGTTGCCAAGCTTGAGATTCAGACAAATGTGGATCTAAAACCCAACTCCACCACTTCCTGTGTGACTTTGGGCAAGTTATGTGTTAGCTTTAGGGCCCTCCTAAAAGTGTCAATAATAATATTTACTTTATAGGGTTATTATGAGAATTAAAATACACACACACACACACACACACACACATTACTTTCTACATTGCCTGGCTTATTATAAGCACTCAAAAGATATAATCTGTGAAGCTCAGAATTCTAGTAAAATGAGTTTCCATTAAGTGTTGTGTAATAAAAGTCAAATCTTGTTTCATGGGCTGATCCAATTCCTTGTCCTGCACTGAAATTTTTTATATGGATTAGTGCTTACAATCAGTGGGCCATCAGGTAAGGCTTGAAAATATTTTATTAAAGCATTTGTTAAAGTGAACTTTGGCCCATATAACAAAATTCTTAAAACACTGATCCTGGTCATATTTATGCACAAAACTACCATCCTTTTTCTAAAGAGCATTACCTTTTGCTATCCAGTGAATTTCTTTACCTACAGTTAAAAATCAACCAGAAACCCACATATATTTTATGACTTAATTATCAGCCACCTAGGGGTTATGCTCTTTAATCCATGATCCAAACAGAATGACCAAAAATGATCACTTAGAGCTTAAATGGATTTAACAAATAGGCAACCAGTGCTTTCTCATTCTTTTAACTGCCAACTCCTCAAATCATTTTACTGACCTATTTCAACGGGGGTTAAGTTTTTCTGAGCAAATGTCTTAATCTTTGAAGTTCGACATTGAGAAAGTTGTCATTTGTTTCTGTTACTATTCTTCCCAGAGTACACCAGAACAATTAAATATAAAAGCATAGTAAATCTGGCCTTTAAAAATGTGGCTTGGACTCCATCAAGCAAATGCATCTACCTGAGCCTTTGAATCCTACTAAGCCATGCAAAGATGAAAGAACACTTAGAGATTTTTATTAGTATTGCAGCATCAGCAATGGCAGCAGATCCAAGAGTCAAGTGGCCCAGTGGCTACCAGCCAGCAGCAATGGTACCTGTGCTGGCCAGTGGCAGCAGCACCAGCAGTGGTCCTGTAACCAAATTCTTCCCATGGCTCAATAGGCTGGATCTCTGCTCCCCAGTCTTTCCTGGTCCTGTTTGTTTCCTAAGCCTCGTTCTCCAGGCTTCTTATTGATGCAGTGAGCTATTACTGTATGTCCTCCTAATAAATCCCTTTTCAGCTTCACTTAATCAGAATTGGTTTCATTAGTTTTCAACTCATAATGCTAGTCTAACAATTATTTGCTGAGTAACGATGGTACAGCAGACAATATAGCGTGGGTGTCGCGACTGCCTGGGTTCATATCCTGGCTGTAAAATCAATTTGTTGTTTGATTTGGGCAAGTTACTTAACCCTTGTCTCAGTTTCCTCATTTATAAAATGAAGATAATAAAGGTATGCACATCTCCTAGAATTATTTCTAGCGTTACATAGGTTAATATATAGAAAGTGCTAAGGACAGTTCCAGGCACATAGTTAACACTCAAGGAATGCCAACTACTTGTTTTTCTACTGCTGGTGGTGGTTGTGGAGCTGCTGCTGTTACTGTTGAGTGGCTACTAGGTTCAGAGGGACTGATAAAAGCGAGGACATCAGATCTATGTTTCTTAAAGAGTGTAAGGTATAACCTTTTGGAGAACTCGAAGAGAATTCTGGGGGAAATAAGTTCACTATATCCCAAATAATTTTTTTTTTTTTAACTCAGAACCCATGCTCCTTTTGATAGCACAGACTCCTAGGATAATAAGAGTTTTGGATACTTACTAGATTTGTAAACTTGTAGGAATTACTCAATTTTTCTAAGCCTAATTACTTAGGGAGTCACAGTTTGCTCACATATTTTTGTGAAGATTAAATAAAATAATACATGTGGCTAGAGCAGCACCAGACATATACTGAGTAGTTAATCATTCAATACCAGTTTTCCATATTTTTCCTTATATATATAGTTCCAGAAATGCAAAAATAACTTTAGGGCCAGCCAAGTGGCGCGTTGGTTAAGAGTGGCTTGGGAGCGCCAGCTCTGAGCAGCAGGGCCCCGGTTCGGATCCCACATGAGGGCCAGTGACACTGAACCCTCTACACCTAATGATGGTGAACAACAACTCGATCTGGAGCTGGGCTGCCGTGAGTCGCTGGTCATGGCGTAGGCTGCAGACCCTGCTGCAGTGGGCTATTATAAGCTACTGTGAGTGGCCGGCAGCTGCTGTGAGCCGCAGTGAGCGGCCATCCAATGGCTGGCAAGAGACTGCCTCGCCAGGAAAGAGCACAATGCTAATACCAACATGGGCCAGTGAAGCAACGTCCTCCTCCACAACTAGACTGAAGAACAAAATACAGCAACTTGTCTGCTCCCCTTCCCCGATTCTCCAATGCTGTTCCCCTCCCCCAATTCCCCAATAAAATCTTTAAAAAAAAATAAATTTTTTAAAAAATAAAACAAAGCAAGCACTGTCCTAATACTTATAAAAGCATAATTAAAATATACAGATCTTACAAATAAGAAAAACAGGCCACCCCATTCCAAGACAAGCCATGGAAGCTATTATTAGAAGGGTCCAAGTAGTTTTGAGCATCTTGGCACCACAATGATAGACACCTTGGAAACTAGATAGGTGATAAATGCAAATCAAACAACCTGATGGCTTAAATGTGATCCAGTCAATCTCAAATCATAATGTCCTGTAACATATTCAACTGTCACTTTCATCATTATCAACAAGAAAAACAATGGAAAAACTAATGGGTGGATTTTCCCCAACATTAGCAGGGAAGGACAGCATCAGGATATGGATTTAAATAATTGCTAAACATGTGAGAGAAATTACAAATGAAGTAACAAGTTCAAGAGATCATCTTTCCAAAATACTCTTCATGTAGAATAATTACTCAAAAGAATGAAAAATCCTCTCAGTTTTCAAAACATTTTCCTTCAAAAATTCTCCAAGTGTGTTCTACACATAGAGCAGGGGTCGGCAAACTTTTGAGCTGGAAGAGCCAATCCTGTCCCTCACAACAGTTTAAAAATTATTCGACAGCCATAAAACAAATGAAATCACCATTATGTGAATAATATCCTTTCAAAATTTTATAAATGAAACTATGATAGTTTTATTTTCATCTTCAATTTTACTTCAGAGCCACATGTACGTACCCAAAGAGCCGCATGTGGCTCGTGGGCCACAGTTCGCCGACTCCTGACATAGAGGGACAGTCTCACCAGCATGGGCTGGGAATTCTGGAGGACTTG